TGCACAATACACAATGCCCGGTACACCGCAACAAAATGGTGTAGCAGAAAGGCGGAATCGTACATTAATGAATATGGTTAGGAGCATGATAAGTAATAGCTCTTTACCTCTCTCATTGTGGATGTATGCATTAAAAACATCAACTTATCTGCTTAATCGTGTTCCTAGCAAAGCAATCCCTAAAACACCTTATGAATTGTGGACAGGAAGGAAACCGAGTTTAAGGCACCTGCATGTTTGGGGTTGCCAAGCAGAAATAAGAATATACAATCCACATGAAAAGAAGCTTGATCCTAGGACAATCAGTGGATTTTTCATTGGTTATCCAGAAAAGTCTAAAGGATTTATATTGGGCGAGGCATCCTATGTGATAGGAATAGAAATATTCCGAAATAGATCACAAGGATTGTTAGGATTGTCTCAGAAAGGGTATATCAACAAAATCTTAGAAAGATTCAGAATGGATAAATGCTCTGCAGGAAAGGTTCCAATTCAGAAAGGGGACAAGTTCATGGTATCTTAAATTTAATAATACCATTACATCTTATGGTTTCGTAGAAAATATCGTTGATCGATGTATCTACATGAAGGTTAGTGGAAGTAAGTATGCGATTTTAGTCTTATACGTTGATGATATTTTACTTGCTGCAAATGACATGGGAATTTTACATGATGTAAAAATGTTTCTTTCTAAGAATTTTGATATGAAAGATATGGGCGAGGCATCCTATGTGATAGGAATAGAAATATTCCGAAATAGATCACAAGGATTGTTAGGATTGTCTCAGAAAGGGTATATCAACAAAATCTTAGAAAGATTCAGAATGGATAAATGCTCTGCAGGAAAGGTTCCAATTCAGAAAGGGGACAAGTTCAGTAATTTACAATGTCCGAAAAATGAATTAGAACGAAAGGAAATGGAAAATATTCCTTATGCATCAGTGGTTGGGAGTTTAATGTATGCTCAAACGTGTACTCGACCAGATATCAGCTTTGCTGTTGGAATGTTAGGTCGGTACCAGAGTAATCCTGGAATGAATCACTGGAAAGCTGCAAAGAAAGTTCTAAGGTACTTGCAAGGCACCAAAGATTATATGCTCACATTAAGAAAGACTCTTTGAGAATTATATTGGCTTTAGTTGCTCATTATGATTTAGAGCTTCATCAAATGGATGTTAAAACCGCTTTTTTGAATAGTGATCTAGAGGAACAAGTATATATGGATCAGCCTGAAGGATTTATACCCACAGGAAAAGAAAATTTAGTGTGTAAGCTGAGAAAATCAATTTATGGACTAAAACAAGCTTCCCGACAATGGTATCTTAAATTTAATAATACCATTACATCTTATGGTTTCGTAGAAAATATCGTTGATCGATGTATCTACATGAAGGTTAGTGGGAGTAAGTATGCGATTTTAGTCTTATACGTTGATGATTCCCGAATCTCTTCTATGCCAACTTTTCGTGATTCATCACTCCCACTGATTTGACCATTTTCAATGAACCTTGCATTGCCAGTCTCCATAATTCTCGTACTATGGTTAGGACAATAAAAAGTCATTGGTTATTCAGATTCAGATTATGCTGGATGTGTTGATACCAGAAAATCGACTTTTGGATATTTGTTTCTACTTGCCGGAGGAGCAGTATCATGGAGGAGTGGAAAGCAGTCTGTCATTGCTGCTTCCACCATGGAAGCTGAGTTTGTAGCATGTTTTGAAGCTACCGTTCACAGTTTATGGATGCGGAACTTTATCTCAGGGCTTAGGATTGTCGACACTATAGCTAGGCCGCTGAGAATTTACTGTGATAATTCCGCAGCTATCTTCTTCTCGAAAAATGATAAGTACTCGAAAGGTGCTAAGCATATGGAGATAAAATACTTATCTGTCAAAGAAGAAGTGCAGAAACAAAGAGTATCATTTGAGCATATCAGTACTGATTTTATGATAGCGGATCCATTAACTAAGGGACTGCCGCCTAAGACTTTTAATGCTCATGTTGATCGTATGGGCATTATAGATAAGTCGTTGTTGTAATTTAAATAATTGCTCATTATATATGATATCTTGAATTCAATAAAGTCTTGTTTCTGTTATTGAAAGTCATATTATCATTAAATTATTTGTGTACATATGAAGTTGATAAAGATAATATGCATTATTGTTCTATAGTTACTTCTGGCCATAAAAGAGGTTTTGGATGACAAACGTTTGTGATACTTGGAAGGAATCATATTCAAATAAAATGATGTGTGACCGCCAAGATTCAATTGTTTGTTGTTCAAATAAAAGTTATCGGTGATAGATGAATACAATATAAAATTACGCGTTTTAAAGATTGTAGATCATCAAATCATCACATGGGCCAAGTGGGAGAATGTTGGAAATATAAAATTGACCCATGGAATTTTGGGTTTTGGACTTCATATTATTTTGAGCTCATTGATGGATATGAGCTAATTAAGTTTGAATGTCCATTGGTATTCATGGTAATCCATCTCTTTCCCCTATAAATAGAGGATCTTGATTCATATTTTTCATCCATCAGAAAAATTATCAAAGTAAGGGTGAAAAGAGAGAAAAATCGATTTACCGAATTATTCTTCAAAGTCATTCCGCTGCAAAATGGATTCAGGTATAATTCTTATCCGATATGTATATTAATTTCGAATTGTATGAATTATGCAAAAACCGTATCCAGTTTTTGGTGAGTTTTCATAAAGTTATCGAAAACCATCAATATAAAGTTTTTACATCTCCTCCTGTGGTGAAGATCACCGCCGTATTAAATTCGACGATGGCTCTGTTGTGTTCGATGGTGGGGAAGAGAGCTTGAAGTCCGTCGAGGATAAGCTGAGTCAACTTGGCCAATGACCCGATTTTAATTTATAAAAACCATAATCAGAAATTAAAACCGGGTTTGGTTTCTTCTCCAACCGGTTCCGAAAAAATTAAAAAAAAAATATTGATGTATCATTTTTTAAGTTAAAATTATTGACTTGTATGGTGACATTAATATTCCGTGAACACATGGATTTTCATTCGGTTGAAAAATTGGTACAATCGATCAAATGTTTATTAGAAATAGAATAAGCAAGTTAAAGGTGTTATTTGTAACAATGTTGGAAGGTTGGGTATTGATAGATAATTTTGTAAGTTAGAAGATTTTATTGTATATATTTTAGCAAGTTGAAGGTTTTTGAGATTTTTTTTTTTCTCTTTTTATTATCTTTCAAATAGTCTAAAGTAATTATGGATTTCGGAGTAAAGTATTGAATTCACCAATATTTTTATAACGTTGGAATATGCATTCACTATCTTTCGAATGCTTACGGAGTAAACACGTCTTTCTATAATAATCTATAAACCATATAAAATTCATATGTAAACCAGTCAAAATTATGTATATTTGACAAGTTTACAAATGGGGAGTTAAACCCCAAATTTGAGGTTAAAAGGTTTAGTACTCAACCAATTTATCTAGACTTTTTCATAGTAGTTGTTTGTATATCATGAGTTCACGAGATTCATATATCTATATAAAATGTATGAAATGTATTATTCAACTGCATGTTATCTACATTATATGTTACACATATTACATATACCTTATCTATTATACATTGTCATTAATGAGTGAAATCTATATTTTGTCCTAATGTTAATGTGTGTGATATTCGACAACCCCGATAGCGGATACACCAAAATCTCCACTCATCTTCATTCGCAATGCGCCCTTTTGCTCTATTTTATACATCTGTCACCAAAAATTTATTCTTCAGGCTATTTGGTGCGACAACGAAGGAGATGAAAAATATTATTATTACAAATGTGGAGATCCATTTCTTTTTTGTTTTTGCTTTTTGTAAATGGAGATCCATCCATTTCTTTTTTTTCACACAATAACAATTTCGGTATATATATGAAAAAAAAAACAATTTCAGTACATGAATCCATATATATATATGTATACTCTATGAGCTGATCATTGGATAGTTAATCAATGAATCCATATTATACGACCATTTTTAACCGGTTTGAAAATGAGACCATTCTTTTGACATAAATTCATTAATGAACCATCTCGTTGAACGAAATAGGCCCAATAACGTTTTTAACATAAAAATGGGAATAATAATATACTATTATTGGATTATTATCTCGTTACTGCACAAAACTCTACATCTTAAACTTGTAAAAAACAAATCCTAAAGAATATTTATATTTATGCTATAAATTTATCATAGAATATAAACCATCATACTTAACAAACTTTAAAACCCGTAAATGTTTGTTAAAAACTAATAAAAGTAAGACTTTTTATATAAATATAATTGATGAAAATTTATACGTTTAAGATTTTTATTTACTTTTATTTTTAAGTTAGATATATATATATATATTGATATTATCTATTATGTTTATTAAAACTATATTTAGAATATATAATAGTTTTTTAATTGAGTATATATACGAAAAACATATATATATATATCGACTTTTTGTGTTTCATTAACCATTTTTGCTTACATTATTAATTATTTATTTTATATTTTAAAAATTAAAATTAATAAATTTTTTTTAGACCATTAATTCTTAACTTTTAAGATAAATTTAAAATATATAATTTTGTTTATATATGCATAATAGTTTACAGCTTCTAAAATATACTCACTCCATTTCAAAATATTTGTAGTTTTAGATTATTTTTTATGTTTCGAAATATTTATCATTCTACATTTTCAAGATATTTTTTTACAATAGTTTCTAATTTTATCCCTATTAAATTCTAATAAATTATTAATGATAACATCATTTTATTTTATTTATATTAAATAAGAGTATATATGATTTTTTTTAAAATTTTTTTTTTAAAATGTGAAATAATCTAAAATAATAATTATTTTGAAACGGATGGAGTAATTGGTTAAATATTTTTTCGCGTATTTAAAATATAGATTTTTTTTTTGTAACGGGTAGCTAACATTTTTTTTCTAAGATAATCCCTAAAATTTTTACGTTTCTCACTCTCTCGGAATTCGGTTCTCATTATCGGTCACATCGTTCTTGACGGTTTCTCCGATCATAGCAAATGATTTCTTCTGATTGATCGGTTGTTTCAGTCTGAGTTTAATCTATCCACGAGCGATCGAATTGTGCGATAAGTTCTCTCCTGGTCTCTGTTGGCATCGAGAATCGAGATGAGTTCGATCAATGGATTGGGTCGCGAAGGGCCAGCACCAGTTGTGGAAGATGAAATCACTTCGTTCTTTGGTTCTGCTCCTCCTTTGAAGGATTCGGAGAAGATCTTCGAGAAGTTGAATCGGTTCATCGAGCTGAATTCTTCGCCACAAGGTGAGATCGCTGATTGTGTATATACTTTTTCTTGGAGTGTTTGTATAGATGGGTTTGTGTGCATGAATGTACTGAGAGGAACGTATTTTAGCAGGAGGAGATGGCGGTGAGAGGAGGATTGTGTGTGTGACTTCAGGTGGAACCACTGTTCCTCTGGAGCAGCGGTGCGTGCGTTACATCGATAACTTCAGCTCCGGTAACAGAGGTGCTGCATCGACCGAGTGAGTTCCATTTTTGCTTTTCCACATTTCTCGGAAATCGTGAATGGCTTTTGCTGTTCTTTGTTTAGTTTGAGATCTAATTCAAGTCGATATTTGATCTGGCGTGAAGATATTTCGTGAAGGCTGGTTATGCTGTGATATTTTTGTACAGGAGGTACAACTGATTCTCTCTAACAGGATTTATTCTATGTATATGAATTATAGTTGGTGATGTGTAATGCGTGCGTTGATGGTGATTATGTTGTTTTCACTGGCTTTGATGTTTAGAGGAACTTGCCAACCATACTGCCGATCTCTTCCTGACGACCCGTTTCTTGAATGCTTTGAGTTCCCGGATGGGTCAGACATTCAAGGTTTGTGTTTCTTTCGTTTTGTCTTTTGATAAAAATGCAAATGCTGGATCCTGTTTGGGTTTCACATCCATTAAGGGATATCATAGGATTATGTTTCCGAGTCATGTACGTCCCTGGATTTGTATGCGTAATGATATTATGATTTACCTTATCTCGGTGGTGGATTAAGTATTTCCTTGTCTCACGTTGTCGATGAGCAGGATTTGGTCTTTCGATATATGAAATGAGCTGTCTGTTTCTGCCAGATGTGATGGGTTGTCTTTATCTTTTTCAGTGCGCTCATCTCATTCTGAAGCTGTGAAGAGAGCTGTTAGGGATCAGCAAGCTGTACAGACCAATTCGTTTCTTGGATTTACAGTTTTCTTTCCATGGATTTTTATCTGTGTTGTGAAATGAATATAACAGATCAGTTTAAGAGTATACAGTCAAATGATCCATAGGATTTTTGGCTTCCATATGCAGGCGGTAGCAGAAAGTCGCTTATTAAAGCTTCCTTTCACAAACATATTTGAATATCTTCAGGTTAGACTCTACGATACTTCACCTTTCTTAAACTGCTTCTCTGTTCTTATTGTTCTTATCCTAAGATCATGTGCCCATCCCAATGGTGAATTAAATAATTTAGTGATACTATGTATTTGTTTTTTCTCTTGTTTCGGTGACAGTATATCATGCACTTGAAAATGGTTCCATGGTGCTTGTTGTATGTATGATGTTATATATGTCAAAACCTATAGATATATATGTACTGATGTACGTATGAAAGGAAATGTTGTTGCATATGTGTTTGTGGATCAGGAAGCTAAATATCGGCTGGAGAATATAAATTATAATGTGCCACTATTGCAGAAGAGTCGCAAGACCCAGGATGGTCTCAAAATTGTGCTTGTGACTGTTCTACAATCAAGCTTTCATGACCAAAAAGATTTGATATTTCCATTGTTTCTTTATATTTTTTCTGTGGTATCTGATCGGGTTATTGTTATCGCGTGCACAAAACAGACGCTGCAACTGATAGGAACCGCATTGAAGGATCTCGGTCCTGATGCCATGTTTTATCTTGCTGCTGCAGTTTCCGACTTTTATGTGCCATGGAATAGCATGGTAAGAAAACCTGGGTTCCTGTTATTTTTTTCCCTGAAAAATGAAAAACAAAATGGCTAGTGGCTGACAGATTTTAGGTTTCTCTGAGCAGACAGAGCACAAGATTCAATCGGGAGCTGGTCCTTTGGACATAAGACTTGCCCAAGTCCCGAAAATGCTTTGGGTCTTGAGAACGAAGTGGGCTCCTAGTGCCTTCTGCATATCATTCAAGGTCATATCACCTGTTCCCCTTCAAATGCATTGCTTACATTAGGGGTGGCCATTTCGGTTATTAACCGAATAACCGAGCCGAACCGAATAAGACATAACCGTATCCGAACCGAACCCGACATCAAAACCGAACGGTTATGATTTACTTAAACCCGAAAAACCGAAACCGAAACCGAATAAAAAATAACCGAAAAAACCGAGAGAATAACCGACATTTTCTTTGGAAAATTGAACTTTTTACCAAAACCGAACCGAACCCGAAACGAAAAATAACCGAACCGAACCGAACTGGAATTTATATAAAAATCGAATGGTTATAGTTTTTCTATAACCGAAATAACCGAACCCGTATATAACCGGACCGAACCCGAACCGAAACCCGAATTGGCCACCCCTAGCTTACATAACTATCAAAACTCTCTTGTTGCAAACTATAAAACGTCTGAACAGTTAATTTAGACTGTAACAATGTTTTAGTTTTGGTGATTCTGATGTTCCGAGCTGAGACATGGCCGGAAAACAACAACCTCTGTTACATGCCTTTTGTTATTGAAACAGCTTGAGACAGACTCGAAGATTCTGTTAGAAAAGGCCGGAATGGCTCTCCGGAAGTACAAGGTGCATGCGGTAGTAGCCAACGAGCTACTAACCCGTAAGGAAGAAGTGGTAGTTGTTTCAACAGACGGCAATGTTCTGGTCAGGCGGGACACCGATAAGCCAGGCTCTGATGTGGAAGATCCCCTCATCCGCCTTATCATGGACCGACACTCAGCATACATCAAAGAATCACATACATAAGTCCTCTGCGTCAAGGTAAAAAACTGAGGCAAATGGTTATAATACACAGCAGAAATAACCAGAGGACTAGAAGATGGAAACTCTGGTACCATTACACTTTCTATATCTGGTCGGTAGATGAAGTCTTGTCATGTGGGCACTGATGGTTCAATAGAATTTCTCTGAATTCTCATGTAAACGTAGGAGAGATCAGTAGATTACATGTTGGTAATCGATGTCTGTTTCTCTTTCCCAGACAAAACCTGTAGAAAAACTTAAGACCCAATACAGCATCTACAGTTGAATCTCGTGTTTCTGTACAACTTGTTGGATAAAGTGGCTTGGAATTCATTCGTGGCATAAGAGGTTCTGTATCGGTTTTCATTTCTTCTTGGCATCGATGAACATAGCCCGAGTCCAGTGTTCAACGTCCTCGGACTGCGAAGGCGGCGGTGGATACTTGGGATGCTCTACCAGATCCCATCCATCGATAAGCCCTTCGTTCTTGGTGCTTCTCTCTTCGGTTGTGGAGAGGAAACTTGCTGCTGGGTTGGAATGGTGGGTGTAACTCGGGTTTCTCTGCAAGTGGGTTAGGAGAGATGTAACATAAGAAACAATCAGAAAGGACCAGTTCTGACAAAATCTGATCGAAAACCATCAACTCTTTGAAGAATGCCAAGAATTCTACCGAAATGTTCGGTTTTTCTCATTCCTCTGGTTCGAAATATATGAAAATGGTAGGAGAGACGGAGGAAAAAAGCGTGTACCGGAACAGGTAGACTATGGGCACTTTCGAGTAAGGAGCTTGAGATGACAGAGTTGGCGTTCCATATAGATTTATTTAGCTGTTGAGCTTGCTTGCATGATCTGTACAAGCAGACACCAAAAATACAAAGATGTAAAAGCTGGGTGGTAGAGGTGGCTATTTCGGGTTTCGGTTCGGTTTTCGGTTCGGTTATTTCGGGTTCGGTTATTTCGGTTATAAAAAAATCATACCCAAACGGTTATATAGATTTAATCAGTTCGGTTCAGTTCGGTTTCGGTTCGGTTTGGTTCGGTTTTTGCATAATAAAATTATAACCAAACGGTTATATTTTCCGGTTTATTCGGTTCGGTTTTAGATCGGTTCGGTTCGGTTATGATATATTTTGAAAAAAAATTATTAATCATATATAAACTTCAAAATATCTATTCAAATAAATGCACAAAATGATTAATCCTGTAATAAAATTATAAAAAAAATCTAAAAACTTCAATAATTAGGATAAAAGTTAAAAACATTATATTTTATGGTTTATTGGGCGAAATATATAAGGTTAAAAAATCTAAAAACTTCAATAATTAGGATAAAAGTTAAAAACATTATATTTTATGGTTTATTGGGCGAAATATATAAGGTTAAAAATGAAGTATAAAAAAATAATACTAATAATAATGAGGGTAAAAATTAAAATATTAAAAAAACTCAATAACCGTTCGGTTAACCGCGGTTATTCGGTTATTAACCGAACTGAACCGAACCCGAACGGTTATTCAACTTCCTCAACCGTTCGGTTATTAAGCAAATAACCGAACCGAACCGAACCGCTGTTAGTCGGTTCGGTTCGGTCCGCTCTTATTCGGTTTGGTTATTCAGTTAATAACCGTGGGTGGTACCCGAACCTGTGGGACCCACGGCTATCCATCCCCCAAACACCCGAAATTCGGGAACCTAAACTGCCATTAGGTCGAACCAGGTTTTTTCTCGCGGGGAGGACCTGACTTTCGAGTTCTAGTTCAGGTTCTGTCCGGTAATTTACCCGAACCAAGAAACCCGAAGGGCGAGGCTGAAGTCAGATACAACCCTCTCACCTCGCCCAGCTCGCTAGTCCGGATACCTGACCCCCACGAGACCCCAAGGGCGAGACCGAAGTCGGATACCCAACTCGCACCCACCCCGATAAAGAACACTAAGGGAGCGAAAAGAAAGATATGTACCTCGAAGAAGCCATTTTCAGGGAGAAAACAGCTCGGACCTCCTTGGAAGAGGATAACGTGGCCAGTAATTTGGCGAATGCTTCAAAAGTGGAGGCCTCCAAAGGTACTTCTAGGCACAATGAATTGTAACAATATGACGTCAAGCAAGACACGCTTTTCTTGAGAAGAGCTATTCCTTTCTGCAAATCTCTGTGCGTCTCGACTGTATGAGGAGAAGCAGAAGAGTAATTAAAGCTGTTGCTTCCCAAAGAATCGAGACGTGCAGCTCTTCTTTCGGATTCCATTGAAGCAGCACCAAAATTGCTGGAACTTCTATCTGTCCACGAGTTCTCGACGTTGGTAGAACAACAGTTTTGCCGGGGTATGAAGAGAGGATACTCACTGCTGCAAAAGGGTCGATAAGAACTTTTAGCCTTGTCGTAAACTATTTGGTTTCTCATTTTCATGCTCAGAGATGGGGAAATGGAACTCCAGAAAGCTTGTACCTTCGGGAGGAAGGGCGTGCATCCCAGTATGAATCTCGTTGCCATATCCGTGAGCAAGAACCCTGTGAGGAAAATATTGCGCAAATTTGACAAGAGCAGAAACTTGGAATTTCATTTTTCCAAAAACAAAAATGAAAGTTTCCATATTTTCCTTTGAAATTTGGAATGCAAGAATCAAAATCAGAGATGAACAGAATGTGTTACCGCAAAACCTGAGTTATGGAGTGAAGGAGCAGCCAAGTTATGAATCACAAGGTTAAGAAGCTGGACCATGTACCTGCTCCGTACGTAAAAGAAAATGTCTCAGCACCTACCTACCTAAAGAAATGGGACAGAGAATACACCACAGAACAAGAAAGGCTGAAACAAAGACCAAACAAAATTATCTATGAACGTAGTCCCAGACGCAAAGGACGCTACCCCAAATCCGATGGCACGGAGTGAGGGTCGAGACCTCTCGGTAGACGTGCATTGCAAAGCAAATCATATTGACCAGTGGAACCATTTTTACTCTCTCCATCAAAAGTAACCTGAGATAATTAATATAAAGCACTTAAAATAAGCAATAGGATAGAACTAGGGAATGAGAAATATCATCAAGAGTATCCCAAGTCCAGAAATATCCTGTTTTTTGTGTCTTGGTATTCTTACTCTGCGTTGAGGGAACAATTTGCATATTTGCTTCATAACCACGGACTGTTTGTGAAGGCGTTCTGACGTGATTGCCATCTGCAAGAAAGAAACAGCCTTGATCTTCATAACTGAGTATACGTACGATGTTTAACAAAATAAACGAGTTACGTGGGCAAAATCCAGAATGTATATCAGATTGCATGATGAAAGTGAACCCGGATCCCTTACATGGCCTAGGGTCTGCGTACAGATTAGATTAGGATAATACTTTAGCTTTTCAGCTCTGTTTTTCTCCAGCTGCAAAGGCACAAATGAAAAGATATCCATCAAAACTTTGAGACAAACCCTATCCATTTCAGACACCTAAAAGCTGTGATCATTGTGTTACAGTGCAAGGCAAAGAAAGAAACACATTACAAAGCACCATTTTCACTACCGTTGAGCGAGCTGAATCCAGAACCCCATATCTAACTTTCATCTCACGAGTTTCAATCTTTGCCCTCCCTGTGGAAAAATCAAGAGACATTGCTTAAGCAAAGTGTATTAGGAAAACGCAGAGAACATTTACTAAGGAGACGGAAACCTTGAGCTACTTGTTCTCTGTTATGTCGGAGCCTTTCCTTCAAGCTCGAAAACTTCTCATGTTGAAGCACTCTCCAGTTCTTTTGATCATCTGCTCTTCCCTACACCCTACACAACAGATTTTATAAAAAAAAAAATTAAAATAAAATAAAATTTCCAAAACGAAGAGGAAAAAACCCAATAGCTGAGAGGTCCCAGAACCAAACCTTTGCTACCAATAACTCTCTCAACCTCGAGTACAAGGAATCTCGCCGATTCTTCAGTGACTTCAACAAAGTGCTATACTCATTTAACCTGCAACGAGATCAATGCAGGATCCAGAAATCAGTACAAGAAAGGTAAACGTATGCAGAAACCCACAGGGTAAACGCTTAATTTCAGAATTTCACGATGAATCTAACCGAAAATTGGATTCAAACGAGCTACAGAAGATACGGGCCACTAAGCTTATACAAAAACTTCGCATTGTCGTTCTAATTAGGAAACAAAAATCAAATTCAAGCGATACAGAAAACGAGGCAATCGAGAAGGACATACCTGTAATTAACGCAACCGGCGCAAATCGAAGCGCGATTGGTATTCTCGCAAACAGCGCAATTACTGGATCGTTTCATCGTCGTTCAGCCCTTCATCTGCAACACACAAACCCTAACAAATCCTACTGGTTTGTATATGGACAGGAACAGAGGTGGGAAACATCTCGATCATACGGAATAAGGACACTGAATCACTGTATATGACAAGTGGAATCAGAAACTGAGGAATTCGAATTCGAGGGCCGGAACGGACAAACTCCAGAGAAATTGGCGACGAGAGAACTTGGACCCAGAAATAAACAACCGACGAGTCATGGCAGGACAAAAAAAAATACAATAGTAACTAAATTGAATAGCTTTTATATATAAAATTTAATATTAAAATAAAATGTTGAATCAAATAATATTTTTACAAAATAAGTATTTAAAGTATTGAATAAATTGAACCCAAATTAGATAAATAATTAAACGAGCTAAATAAACTAGAATTGAAAATTCCAAAATGTTACCAAAAAGTTCAACAAATGGAGCGAAATCTAATTACCCATACATTACATATATAATATAATCTCTGTATTGATTGGGTCTAATTTATTTATTTTTGTCAAACCAGTAAGTTCACCTGGAACTTCGGTCCAACCTACATCTCCCTGGACCCGGAAGCAGCCTTTGAACACACAACCTTTGGCTATGCCTCTCCCTCCCCGCATGCCTAGATTCGAACCTCTGACATGGAGGATGAACATCCTCACTTCCAGTCCAGGTACCACTCGACCACATACATGTGGGTGGGTCCAATTTATCTTGCACTGATTTATCTCATTTTGTAGAAATAAAAATGGACTTATTAGATATGGTTCTTGTCATTTTATTGAAATATTTATCAAAGAATATATTAGAAGTGATCCACATGTCTGAGGTCGAGTGATGCCTTTGGTTGGATGTCAGTGCCTCTTCCAGTTCAAGGGTTCGATCCAGCATGCGGGGATGGAAAGACGTAGCCAAAGGTTGCGTATTGAAAGGCTGTTTCTGGGTCACGGGATGTAAATTGGATCGAAATCCCAGGTAAACCTTCGGATTGACAAAAAAAATGTATTATTAGAAGAAACCCTAATAAATTCTAACCAAATTAAACCAAAATAAATCAAACCATACCACCAATAGAGATAAAAATGACAATTTTATCAAAGAATGTATGGCTCTTTACTTACGAAGAGAAAAAATAGAAATAAAAATGACACTTTTATTTTTTTAGATACGATATATTATCTATAAAATACACATGTGTATATATATATGTGTATAAATTTAATATAGATTTTTAATATATATAAATCCAAAATTCATGAAAGGAATGAGATAAGATTCAAGTTCTAGAGCACCATTTTTTTGCTCATGCGCCAGTCATCACCAATTTTCACACATTTTCTTTATTTTGATTTTTTTTAATATATATTTGGGTTTTCACACTGCTAATTACATTTTATTTAGTGCAAAAATAGGTGAAATATCGTGCAATTATATAATATGATTACCATTAATTCTATATCATTAAATTAAGTTTAATTCATGGACTTATAATCATTTGGTATACTTTTGACGCCACATGCAGTAGTTCTATAATTCGTGGTTATCGTATTAATTCCCTCATAAACTAATTCATTTATAATTTTTAATCAGACTTTTTGTCTTTTTACTTCATGTCACAAGTATCAATATGGTTATAATAAAATTTTAAATAGAAAAAAAAAATCGTTTCTTTTTAATGTCGTAATAATGAAACATGTGTTTACAAGATCTACCCATATGTTTTCTCTATACACACATATATAAATGCAAACAGATTCAGACACACATTGTATGTGCAAATTATGATTTTAAGTTTAGAAATTATGAATTATAATTATAAGCGGTTGATCAGTTGTGATATATTTTTTTATAATATTTGTCGTCTGTGATTTGAATCTATAGTTGTGATATTGAATTTTACCTTTTGGAATTTGATAAATGAACCACTAAACTCGATACAAATGAAATATAAAACCAAGATGGACGCAGACCATCGGGTCAGGTGAGTTGGTTGAGTAGTTAATGATTTTCTAAGAGTTCATGAATTCGATTCTGCTCATATGCGAGTTTGTCACCTGGTTTATAAACTTTACCTTTAGGTTATAGGATTTATCAATGTGTCTGAAGAACTGTGGTTAGATTTCCGCGGTTAAAAAGAAATTGGACGCGGAAATCACATGTATTTAAAAATAAAATAAAAAGATATATTATACATATACATTTTGATGGGGTTAATCCCATAAAAATTCCCAAACTTGTTAAATCTGGAAAATTAATTCCTGAATTTGTATACTCCCATAATAAATAATCAACTTGATAAATTTCACATAAAAATATCTCAACTTGTCAAAAGTTGCCAAAAAAAATTATTGACTAACTTTGAATGAAAACGCCGTTAAGAGAAGATGATGTGTCGTTACGTATAAACTGCCATGTCATACATATATGCCACGTCAGCAAAAATTGAAAATTATTTTCAACCGGTTATACATTCGACTAGTAAAAAAAACATCTCTATTGACCTCTCGATCGCGATACATTTTTTTTTATAAATGCTCGATTCCGATACTTAGATACACTAATCTTGATTTATCTACTGTTTTTCTCCATCTTCATCTTTTTTGTTGTTGTTAAAACTCCATCTTCATCGTTTCCAACATCAATTTGAGGTTTGACTCTCTTTTCTTATATAACTAGCAAAATGGATCCCTCTTTTTTTTTTTGTTCAATTGTTTTGAAATTCTAGATTTTTTTATTCTTCTTACGAATGTTTGTTTTCTTATTCTTCTGCAAAATGCTTGTTTTCTGTTGTTGTTACTGGTTCTGGTTAGGATCTTATTTGAAATTCTGCAGAATTGGAGAATGACCGAAGAAATGCGACGAAGAAATAGTACCCATTAATTTTGGCTAAGATTAAACAATTAGATTTGGAAAAAACGAAGACGAACAGAGATGATAATGTCGAATAAGATGTCGAAGAATAATAATTGGACAGAGAAATAAGAGTTCGGGTTTCTAAATGTCAGGGTGGAGAGAGAAATAAGGAAAAAACAGATATATTTTATTTTTTTTACTAAACTGATTACCGTTCAATCGATCGAAAATAATTTTTAGGTGTTGAATGTACGAGGTTTTTATTTTGAGTTTTTGGATTTGGTTTTTGGTTTTTAGATTTTAGATTTTGGTGTTGAATGACAGGTGGTTTTTGAAGTTTTTGGATTTTAAAAACTGAAAAAACCAACAATCAAGTTTTTTAAATTTTGGTTTTCCAAAAAATCTGAAAAATCTACTTTATGGAAAAGATCAACTAAAAACCAAAAGCTACAATTTTTTAGATTTACCAACTTATAAAATCCAAAAGCCAAAAACCAAAAACTAAAAACCAAAATCCAAAAACTAAAACCAAAAACCCAAAATAAAAGCCATCTCCATTCAAAGCCTAAAGTAAAAAACCCAAAATAAAAGCCACTACCATTCAAAGCCTTTAGTTTTTGTTTTTTTGCTTCTGGTTTTTATAGATTTGTAAATTCAAAAAAATGTAGCTTTTAGTTTTTAATTCATTTTTTTTCATAAAGTAGTTTTCCTAGTTTTTAGGAAAACCAAATTTAAAAAACTTAGATTGACAATTTTTTAAATTTTTAAAATCTAAAAAAAAGCTCTCTTTATTCATTGCCTTAGTTTTTTAGTGACGTGGCTTAAATATGTGACATGGCAGCTTTTGTGTACAAACACGTCATTGCCTCTTAACTCCGTTTCGGACCAACGATGGTTAATTTTTTTTTTGGCAATGTTTGGGAAGTTCTGATATTTTTATGTTAAATTTACCAAGTTTGATATTTATTATGGAAATATACAAGTTGGGGAATTAGTTTTCCAAATCTGAACAAGTCTGGTAATTTTTATGGGATTAACCCCATTTTGATGTGTAGCGACACTATTATACATGTGTGCTTCTCCACACTGGAATTCGATGCAAAATTTTATATTATTTTCCAATTAAGAAAATGGACGGTGATGTATATACATATATGTAGATAGTGACGTTATATTTATATATATATAAGGACGTAATGGATACCGATATGTATGTATGTATGTGGTAAAACCGTGGAAGGCCCATGGTAACGGACGAAGTGTCCTCTCTCAGCCCCACAGAAAACGAACAATTCTTAGGTCACGTAAAACAGACAAGAAACACATTAAAATTGAGGAAAACCCAATTGCAGTGAACAATCATTTTTTTTATTAAAAAAAAGTGAGTTATGTTTATCAAATACATCGACGTCATCCTCCTCGTATCTACCCGATTTGTTTCTATCTAGAATGGTCTTTTTTTTTTTTAATCTCCGTGATATATTACCAACAAAATAATTCAATGGAAACCAAAAATAATAATTATTATAATTCTTTAGTTCTATCTTTTTTGGAGTAATCGAATATTTTAGATAAAAATCAAACTAATTTCGAAATCGAAATAATTTGATTTAGAATATACACATTTTTTGCAAAAGATTTCAAATTCGAGATGAGATAAAAAAAAATGATACCTATATAAATGGGAAAAAGAAACAAAAAAATGATACATATATAAATGGGAAAAGAAAAGGGTAATGTATAATCTAATTAACAGAGGAATAATTGATGTGTAATATGAATATTTTTTTATAAAGAAAGAAATGACAAGATATCTAATGCTTTTGTAATTTGATTAAATTCAGAATTCAAGTTGAAGAAAATATCACAATATGGAAAAAAACCCCAGAAAATTAAATTTATAAATAATTAAACTATTAAAAAAAGAAATACAGATCCACGACTGCATTAATTTGCACCTACTTTCTAATAATAGTCAATAGAAATTACATGTTTGGATTGTATTTGAATGACGAAGAGCAAGAAGTTTGCCTATTGACAGTCAATATTTAAAAAATAATAATGAAATTGTCATCATCATTAGAAAATAGTGTTTCCAAAAAACAACTACGGTATTGAAAGGCGAATATTTATATTTTTAATATTTAATGGTAAGAGAAAAAACAAAAATTATCAATTTATATTCGTCCTCTTCGACCCCACACGTGCGAAATTGCAATCTTGCACGAATCTTCCGTATACCGCGCCTATATAAGCTTCCATCCCCTCCACCACTCTTTTTTCGTCTGCAAGTAAAGAGATACACCGAGAGACAACCCTCATTTCCTCTCTTATTTACAGTAATACCCCTCCTCCTCAATGTCGGCTTCCGTCGATAACCACCAATCGGCTCGCCCTGAGCTCTCCAAAAACGACGTCGTACACTCTTACAACCAGACCGTGTTTCCGCAGAAGAAAGCGGCTCCCGCAGAAGTTCGGAACGGTGACGAACACGACGACGTCTCGAGCGATGACGAGAACGAGACCCACAACAAGAACGCTGTCAACTACTACGAGGAGATGATCCGCAAGTCGAACAGCGAACTGGAGCCGTCGATCTTTGACCCCAGGGACGAATCAACGGCTGACAGCTGGATCGAGCGGAACCCTACGATGGTCCGTCTCACAGGGAAGCACCCATTTAACTCGGAGCCTCCATTGAACCGGCTCATGCACCACGGCTTCATCACCCCGGTCCCGTTGCACTACGTCCGGAACCACGGGGCTGTTCCAAAGGCTCAATGGTCCGAATGGACGGTCGAGATAACGGGTCTGGTGAAACGGCCCATGCGACTCACCGTGGACGAGCTCATCTCCCAGTTCCCATCTCGAGAGTTCCCTGTAACCCTAGTTTGTGCCGGGAACCGCCGAAAGGAGCAGAACATGGTGAAGAAGTCGAAGGGTTTCAACTGGGGAGCCGCCGGAATTTCGACTTCCGTTTGGCGCGGAGTGCCACTCTGTGACGTCCTCCGTCACTGCGGCATCATGAGCAAGAAGGCGGGAGCCATGAATGTGTGCTTCGAAGGTGTGGAGAATCTTCCAGGCGAGGCCGGAAGCGGCGGATCCAAGTACGGGACGAGCATCAAGAAGGAATACGCCATGGATCCTTCGAGGGACATCATTCTGGCTTACATGCAGAACGGTCAACTACTTACTCCGGACCATGGATTTCCGGTTCGAATGATCATACCGGGTTTCATCGGAGGGAGGATGGTGAAGTGGTTGAAACGGATCATCGTCACTGCCCAAGAATCCGACAGTTATTATCATTACAAGGACAATAGGGTTTTGCCTTCCCATGTCGACGCTGAACTCGCCGAGGCCGAAGGTAAATATGCACGATACATATATACAAACAGTAAAAATTCAAAACTGACCATTAAAACACAAAGACCCATATGCAGGAACCCATATGTGAAGAGTCAAAATGCATCGGTGAAGTGGTAAAATTTTTCATGGGTTATGTCCTCATGAATTTAATTCAGACAAAATGGTAAAAGTAAAAAAGGGATGTCTGATGGGTGATGTCAGCATTTTAATTATTATTATTATTATTTGTTAAACGCATTTTAATTATTTATATGCGCTCCATAAATCATAATCCATGTTGTCAAATATTATTTTCACTTATGGCCTTGTTGGATTTTATTTTATTTTCGGTCTTCAGCTTGGTGGTACAAGCCGGAGTACATAATCAACGAGCTCAACATAAACTCGGTCATTACGACGCCGAGTCACCAAGAGATTCTCCCCATCAACGTTTTCACCACCCAAAGGCTTTATACCTTGAAGGGCTACGCATATTCCGGTATTTATAATTATAATAATGATGCTAATAAAAATAAAGTATAGCAATAATGATTAGCGGGCAAACAGGGGGAGGGAAGAGGGTGACACGTGTCGAGGTAACGACAGACTGCGGGGAGACGTGGCGGGTGTGCGCGTTGGACCGTCCGGAGAAGCCGAACAAGTACGGCAAGTACTGGTGCTGGTGCTTCTGGTCTCTAGAAGTGGAGGTTTTGGACCTGCTTGGTGCCAAGGGTATCGCTGTCCGCGCCTGGGACGAGACTAACACCCAACCCGAGAAAATGATCTGGAATCTCTTGGTACGTGTTTCCAAACACCCCCTCTCATACAATTGGCTCAAGATTCGCTTTAGTCAACCAATCGGCGTGCCCCACGTGCGAAGGCCCAACCAATTTAAAATAATGTGTTACTTCATTCAAATCGGTTCGGTCGTCATCCCTTACTATTTCTACAAAATATTATTAGGGGTCGACGTTTTGATTTTCGGTTCAGTATTCAAGCGGTTCGGTTCGGGAATGGTATTTTCGGTTTTATAAAAAGTGTACCAAACTAGAAACGAATGTTAAACGGTTCGGTTCGGTTCGGTTTTAGAATCGGTTCGGTTCGAAACGGTACCATTATATGAATATCAAATAAGTACCGAACTATAATATTTACACATATATTAGTGGAATATTCGAATTTTGGTTCACGGTTCGGTTCGGGAACGGTTCATTCGCTTTTATAAAAAATGTACCAAATTAGAACCAAACGTTATTCGGTCAGGTTCGGTTTCGAAACGGATCGGGTCGATATTAACTTTTCGAACCGAAGTGCCCACCCATAAATATTACCGTTTCGTCAAATATTTTGAAGCCTGAATTCATCTTACTCGGCGTTTTTGTTATAAAGTAACAATAAAAATTGTGACAATATGAATTGATAAGGTACATGTTTGGTGATTGATGAAACAGGGGATGATGAACAACTGCTGGTTCAAAGTGAAGACGAACGTGTGTAAACCCCACAAGGGCGAGATAGGTATCGTCTTCGAGCACCCGACATTGCCCGGAAACGAGGCCGGAGGGTGGATGGCGAAGGAGCAACACCTCGAGATATCTTCCGCTCCGCCTCCCGCGATGAAGAAATCCGTCTCTTCTCCTTTCATCAACACCGCCTCCAAGACGTACTCAATGTCCGAAGTCAAGAAACATAACTCCGCGGATTCTTGTTGGATCATCGTCCACGGAAACATCTACGACTGTACTAGGTTTCTGAAAGATCATCCGGGCGGCTTGGACTCGATCTTGATTAATGCTGGGTCGGATTGTACCGAAGAGTTCGACGCCATTCATTCGGACAATGCCAAGAAGATGTTGGAAAATTACCGGATCGGGGAACTCATCACGACCGGTTATACATCTGACTCGTCTTCCCCCAACACCTCGGTTCACGGTGGGTCAAACATGCTCTCGCTTTTGGCTCCGATAAGAGAGACGGCTTCGGTTCGGAACGTCGCTTTGGTCAGCACCCGGGTTAAAGTCCCGGTTAAACTCGTCGAAAAGACGTCGATTTCACATGATGTTCGCCTATTCCGGTTTGCCTTACCGGCTCAAGATATGGTTCTAGGGTTACCAGTCGGTAAACATATATTCTTGTGTGCCAACATCGACGACAAGCTTTGCCTTAGAGCCTATACGCCAACGAGCACCGTCGATGTGGTCGGATATTTTGATCTTGTGGTCAAGATTTACTTCGGCGGGGTCCACCCCAGATTTCCCAAAGGTGGACTCATGTCTCAATATCTGGACTCGTTGTCTCTGGGGTCCACTCTGGAGATTAAGGGGCCATTGGGTCACATTGAGTATCTCGGTAAGGGTAATTTCATGGTTCACGGTAAACCGAGAACCGGTAAGAAATTGGCAATGTTGGCCGGTGGGACCGGTATAACCCCAGTTTACCAAATTATTCAGGCGGTTCTCAAGGATCCCGAGGACGATACCGAGTGTTACCTGGTCTACGCTAACAAAACCGAAGACGATATCCTTCTGAGGGAGGAATTGAATGAGTGGTCCAAGAAGTATCCTGATCGGTTAAAGGTTTGGTACGTTGTGGAATCGGCCAAAGATGGGTGGGAATATAGTATCGGATACATCATCGAGGCCATTCTGCACATTCCCGACGCATCGGACGGTTCAGTTCTCGCTTTGGCATGTGGACCGCCCGGCTTGATCCAATTTGCGGTCCAGCCGAATTTGGAGAAGATGAAGTATAATACCAAGGAGGACCTGTTGATTTTCTAAACCGAAGACTAGTGATTGAAGCTTCTGGACTAAAGGAGAGTGTTTCAAAACAAAACCCTAATTAGCGTGATAGATCAAATAATTAAGTTGATTAATATATATATATATATGTATGTATATATATCCACTAATTTTTCTCATATTTTCTGTAGCAATCCATCCTATTGAGTTTTATAGTCGTGCCGTTTATATAATAATACAGTGTTTACATTCTTATATTTTAGATCATTAGGATTTATAGTATTACTATAATTTACTATAAACTATGTACACCTACGTCTTTTGGCTGTCCACATGACATGGCCAGTACGTTTTTTTTTACTATTATATTAGAAATTTGAATAGCTAAAAAGTCTAAAATCAACACAGCATTTTGGTAAAATTTTATAAAAATTATATTTGTGGAAAATCCTTAGAAAAAGAGTAGTCTTTTGTATAAATGTATATAACTTAAAAACTTTTATTACATATATATATATATATATATATATATATATATTCAACAATCATGCGATGTTGGTGATTTTTGCTTACGAATCCAACACGCAAGAGATTCTGGTTTTGATGGCTTTAAATAAAATAGCCTTTGTGAAACTTAATGTTTCAAACGTACAGAGAAATTCATACACTGTGGATCTATAGATATATTTCTTCATAACAATTTTGAAATGATGAATTTATTTTATTATTAGATTTCAAAAAATAATTAAGAGCATCTTACTACATACAATAAAATCAATAATCTATATGGTCGAGGTACTTTTTTTATTTGGGGATTTATAAGTGTGAGTGAACAATAAATACTTGTTTAATCATCCCAAACCCCATTGAGCCAAATATTACCGAAAAAAATAAATACTTGTTTAAAGGATAACCATTTTAGACTCCCACCATTATGAAATTGTAAGGATAATTAATATATATACACACATACATGGCAAATATTTTTCAAAGAATCGGGTACCATGTAAAATGAATGATGGTCGGTTCAACCCAAATCATTTAAAAGAGTCCATTTTCTCAACACTAATTAATTACTCCACAAAAGAAAAAAAAAAGGGTCATATTGCGAGATGAAACTCATTGTCGGTCTATTTCTATATATTATGATTTTCCCTTCGTTTGCTAAAATCGGAATCACCACAAGAGTTCCGAACACTGACACGGCGGGTCAAGGTTGCGGTCGCAGACCTTCCGGGTCGGGTCAGAACCCGGGTTGGGATTACCAGTTCGGTCGTGGATCCAGCCCCGACGGGAGCTGGGCGTACAACTGGGGAACCGGGTCTGGTCCCGATGGAACCCAGTTCAGTTTCGGGTCGGGTTCTGGCCGGAGCCCCGACGGTGGCGGGTTCGGAATCGGGTGGGGAAGCTCCTCCTCCTCTGGCGGAAGTGGAGCCACCGCCACCGGTTTCGCATTCGGCAGCGGCGGCGGGGGAAGGGAGGACCCGGGGAATGATGACGGTGTATCCGGTCAGAGTACCAGCGGAGGTCGGAGCACCGGTGGAGCTCCGGTCGGGAAGGCGAAAGAGAAAAGCCCGGCGGCTCCGGCACCGAAATAGAAGACTTCTGAATGAGAAGTGAAATTAGTTAAAACGGACCGTATTAGTAACGCTGTTATAATTATATGGGCCGATATTGGGCCTTAAAACTTAAAGCGGCTGAACTATGCAAGTAATTATTAGGTATGTGTTATAGGCTAATGGGCCTTTAAGAAGCCCAGTACTTCTAGTCCATGGATTCCATCCCATCTCGTGGATAGAGTTCAGTTAACGTCATTTATAGAGTATATGAAAGTTATCAAATTTTCACATCCAAATTCATAATGAACTTTAAAAGTGTGACAAAAATTACTCAATTTTTAAATTTTTGTAAAAAAAAATCAGTTATAAACATCGTAAATCGCTAACTTGGCATCGTCGACTTTGTCATATAAGATGTCACATCAACCGTCAGGTTATTAAACAAAAACAATTTAAAAATAACAACAACACCAACAATAATGATAAATAAATAAAAATAAAGTTAATTTTTATAATACATAACTGCATACACATATTCAAGCATATATACATGATGCAAATCAAAGTGATATATATATTTTAATATAATTAAATTATCAAAATAGGTCTAAAATCATATGCAAATCAAAGAAATTGATGAGGTTTTGGATACTTGATTCAGCGATGCCGTTTTGCATTATAGAATTTTACCATAGCTATTATTGCCTTCGGGCTTCGTCGGGGGTCTGGACGGGTTCCGCGTTTCGGGGGTTCTAAAAGGCCGAGGCCCTATTGAGTCAAATTCCAAGGTTACCGTTGTTTAGATTTCTCCATCGAAATAGGGAACCAGAGAAGCGAGTGGAGTATTCTAAGAGCTTCTTAGAGAATTCAAGGTCAAGCTCCGTCGATGGCGGATTTGCAGAATGTTCTTCAAGATCGCGGCTTAAGCGTATCTAATCTCCCAGATAAAGGTCGCTGTCTGTTCACTTCCAGAGATTTTCGTCCAGGTTCGTTTGGATTTTTTTTTTTTTTTGCTTTTGATTTCCAGACTCGTGATTTGAGTGACCAAATTCGCTAGGGTTTTAGTTTGAATTCCGGTTGCGAAGTGCCCTTCTCGTATGAATACGTCTGCTCTTTTGCTTTGTTTTAGGGGAGGTGATTCTACGACAAGAGCCTTATGTGTTTGTACCGAGTAATGGCTCCAAGGAATCAAGGTGCGACGGATGTTTGACGACCATTAACCTCAAGAAATGCTCCGGTTGTCAAGTGGTATGGTACTGTGGGAGCTCATGCCAGGTATATTTGTGTATCCATCCGTTTCAGCAGCTTTTTCTTTCTGGTCCTCTGAAGATTATAACTTCTGATATTAGTTTCGTGATGTTCGGTTCGGCATCTCTTTTGCAACATTTTCACACCACACCGATGAAGTAAATATGCACCCAATGGAACCGTTTAGATAAAATTTGGAAACTTACACGAGCATTGGTTGGCGGGTGGAATATCATCGAAGACCGACCTCTCTCGTAATGTAGCATTATGAATTTTCAGAAATCGGAGTGGAAGTTGCATCGCCTTGAATGCCAAGCTCTCTCTAGGCTTGACAAGGACAAGCGGAGGTCTGTTACTCCTACCATCCGTCTGATGGTGAAACTCTACCTTAAGAGAAAATTACAAAATGAACAGGTCATTAGCAGCAATCTTTCCTTGGCTATTCGTGCAGTTGTTAGTTTTTTGCATTCACCGCTTCCCATCGTTGGTTAGGCGATGTATAGATTTTGTTAGGGCCTTGCCTGACGGATTTTGGACAGGAGATCCAGAACAGCCCGAGAATAAAGATTCATCCAGATTTTGTTTTGATCAAATCGTTTAGTGCAGTGTCATCTTTTTTATTCAGTCTCTCCATTCAAATGCGTTTATTTTGGTTCAGGTCATCCCAATGACGATTACAGACAATTACGGTCTGGTGGTGGCTTTGGTGTCCCGTATCCTTCACTAATTGAACTTTGATTATGCGTAATTGATATTTCTGTCTCTCTGATATTTGTAACTTGACGTCTTCTTTAAGCTTTGCTTGGTAGACATGTCTGAGATCGATGAGAAGCAGATAGTGTTGTATGCACAGATGGCAAATCTTGTGAATTTGATCCTTCAGTTTCCTGATATTAACCTAAAAGAAATTGCTGAAAACTACTCCAAGGTTTGTTTAAGTATGCTATAGTTTGCTGTTGTCTGTTTAATTGGTTAAGTTTCTAGAGTTAGCGTCATTTTTTTCTGCTAGTTTCTCTCGATAGTTTGTCCTGCCAGTTGGAAAATTTCTTGTTAATTTATGGATCATGCAGTATGCAGATAGATTGGTAACGATACGATTTCATATTTGAAAAATCGAGAGATTTTTAAAAAAGGTCAAAAGACCTTTAACATGGTTTTCATTTTATTAAAGTATATTTAGGATGTGCAAGAAAAGAACATTGATTTTGTAATCATTATTTCTGATATTTTCATTGTCATCCGAATGCAGTTCTCATGCAATGCTCATACCATTTGTGATTCCGAACTGAGACCTCAGGGCACAGGACTATTTCCTCTGATTTCCATCATTAATCACAGGTATTTGCTTCATCGACCTTTTTGGTTTGTGTTCTTTATTCAATCTATGTTCCTGCCTAACATTTTTGCTCTGTAGCTGCTTACCCAATGCGGTTTTAGGGTTTGAAGGGAGAATAGCTGTTGTCCGAGCCATGGTACATATACCTAAAGAGTCTGAGGTAATTTCTGTTTCCTTTATCCTTTATCTTGTGTATATGCTAGTCAGCACTCAGACATATGTTATCCCAAACTTAAAGTCTTTGTTACGTGAAACTAAGGCTCCCCTGTCTCTGTTCAGGTTACAATTAGCTACATTGAAACGGCAGGAAGCACCATGACTCGGCAGAAGGCTCTCAAAGAACAATACCTCTTCAGTTGCAAATGTGTCCGTTGTGATAAAATGGTAGGTTTTCCTTCCTTCATTCTACTTATTGGGGAAAAAAGATTACACTGGTGCACCAGATATTTTAATCCTTTTTATATGTACCAAATTTTCTTACCGAAGGGCCAGCCTGATGATATTGAAGAAAGTGCGATTTTGGAAGGGTATCGATGTGCAGACGAGAAATGCAATGGATTCTTACTCCGTGACCCAGGTGTGCATCGATTTTGACCATGTAATATGAACAATTAATTTAAGAATATTCTTTATTCCCATTCTTTCATGTGGTTTCGCAGATAACAAAGGCTTTGTTTGCCAGAAGTGCAGCCTTCTCAGGAACAAGGAAGAGATAAAAAAGTTGGCCAGCGAAGTACAATCAATTTCTGAAAGGGCCCCTTCATCTCTTTCCCCAGAAAGTATCTGCTGTTACTTTTGTTCCAAATTTATGCATGCATGCTTGCGTCTGAGCAAGTTTTATCGAACTGCAGTGCATGTTGTCTGAGAATATTTTAATTTTTGATTGTTTTCAGACAAGCAGGAAGCTATCAAATTATATAAGACGATCGAGAAACTACAAACGAGGCTGTGCCATCCTTTTTCCATCGCTTTATTGAGAACCCGTGAAAGCCTTTTAAAGGTGTTTATACATATAACTGTCAAAGTGTTGCCTAAAATTTGGCAAGTGGTTATGAGATTAGTCGTATATTTACAACTTTGTGATGTATGCTTTGCAGATGCTGATGGAAGTAGAAAACTGGAGAGAAGCTTTGACATGCTGCAGGCTAACACTCCCTGTGTACCAAAGTATCTATCTCTACTTAATCTCGGATATACGATGCATTTATTTTACTTTTTCTTTGATTCATTTGTTTAATCAATATCTTCCTCAGGACCTTAAAAATCAGTAGCTATAGTTCTCATTGATTGATAAACGATTAAGAAAGACAAGTTTATATGATCTGTTTCAAGAAAGACATGTACAATATTTACGATTGGTAATAACCAAAAAGCTCTTTCTAGAATTTAAGCTATGTTTCCAGGTTTAGGGTTTGATCAAGCTATTGCTGGTTATCCTTCGAGTTCACATTCAATGTCTCATTGCAGGAGCTTATCCACCGACTCATCCTTTAACCGGACTGCAATATTATGCCTGTGGGAAGCTCGAATGGTTAGAGTTTGCTTTTGCGATAGCATGCTTTTGCGAGGAACTATGAAATCTCTATTGCTGCATCGTCGATTTGTACAAGTTCAATATTCTCACCAATCACCACATGTACTTTTCTTACATGTCTGAGTTCTGTGTTTCGGATTGACTGCAGGTTGTTGGGGGAAACCGAGGAGGCTTTAAGTTCGCTGACGAAGGCATCGGAAATTTTGCGGATTAGTCACGGAACAAGCACGCCGTTCATGAAGGAACTCTTCGGCAAGACAGGGGAAGCACGGGCTGAAGCTTCCTATAAGCAGCGTTCGTCAGATGAAGGCGACGATTAGCAAGCAAGCAAATTCTGGTCATTTTTCCATACCAAATGGGATTCCCCAGGTGAAAACACTTATCTTTGGAGTTTTGGTAATTGTTTTGAAACTTAGAATCCGTACGGATGAATCTTATTAGAGCTAAAACTGTGCATTGGGGAATTCTCGAATTATGTTGTGATCAAAGCTTTCAGTCAAAGAAATTTCTTCTTAAAGAGGAGACCCGTTTCTTTAGCTTTCTCAAAAGAGAAAAGGTTTCTTTTATCCCCTTGATTTTAAAGTTGACGTAAACCGAGATTTAGACGATATTTAAACCGATAATCCTTTTGGATAATCGAGTATTTTGGACTAAGATCTAGACTAATCTCGAGGCCGGAGTCCAGTTATGTGATTTGGAATATACGTCGTCTTTTTCAACCTTAGGTTTGAATTTGAAACAGGATAAGATGTTGTGTACCCGTTGAACTATACAAGTGAGAGTTTAAACCGATAACTTATGTAAATAGATGAAAATTTGTTCTGATTTTTATTCTATTGTTTATTTTCAAAATTATTTTCTGACATAACAAATTGACAATGATGTGTAAATTGTGTCAATTTTTCAATTTATCACGTCATCGTAGTGTTTTCGTTCTTCCGTCCACTTCACTAACTGTGTCTAAATGGAATCTAGAAATATTGCAAAATTTCATTTGTAATAATTTGGAATAAATTAATGTGTTAATTTGAAAATTTTCTAATTCCTTAGAGAAATTGACAAATGATGCGGTTGTCTATTTCTCATGTTTGCTTACGGACAAAAGAAACTACTCGACAGCCATTTGTTGTCGAGACCTTCAAAATAAATGCTAGCCCTAGCATTCATTAGTCAACAATAAAAGGAAAATGCTAAAATGATAGATTAACTAAAGACTTTTTTTTAATAGCTACGAATAAGTCTCTACACTATGTTAAGGTATTTCGGGTTTTGATTCGGTATTCATCCGGTTCGGTTTTGTATGATTTATTCAGTTTTATAAAATAATTGTACCAAACTATAATGAGATGTTAATCATTTCCGATTTGGTGTCGGTTTTGTTATATAAATACCGAAAAGAATAAAAACTTGATATTTCTTTCGGTAAAAAAAAAAGAAAGAGAGGATCTACATGAACTGTGAGCCATTCGCAAATAATAAATATTATCTGCCCATAACACAAAAACAATGAATTTGTGATTCCAACATAAAAGGGTAAAAAACTGATAAAGGTGCAATCTTTGTGTTCCAACCACTTGCCATTCAACTCGCCCTCGTGTAGATACTGCTGTTCATATATAAATATCACAATAATCTCCTCTCTCCCATCACTCACGATCATATCCCGTCACTTCTCCTCGATTTGTGTTCCCTTCTCTTCTTCCGCCGGAAAAAATGGAGTCCGAGATCGCCGCCGACTACTCTCCCATGCTCCGCATCTACAAAGACGGCCGGATCGAGCGTCTCGTCGGCGAGGACAAGGTCCCTCCTTCTCTAGACCCACAAAACGGTGTCGTCTCCAAGGACGTCGTCTACTCGCCGGAAAATAACATCTCCCTCCGCCTCTTCCTCCCCGCAAAAGCCGCCGATTCCGCCGGAAAAAAACTACCCCTTCTCGTCTACTTCCACGGCGGAGGCTTCATCATCGAGACCGCCTTCTCCCCGACTTACCACACCTTTCTCATGGCGCCCGTCTCCGCCGCCGACTGCCTCGCGGTGTCGGTGGATTATAGGCGTGCTCCGGAGCACCCGATTCCGACCGCGTACGAGGATTCATGGTCCGCTCTCAAATGGGTCTTCTCCCATTTCGACGGATCTGGCCCAGAAGATTGGCTAAACAAACACGCCGATTTCGGGAACGTCATCCTCGCGGGAGACAGCGCCGGAGGAAACATCGCGCATCACATGACGATGAGAGCCGGGGAAGAGAAATTGACCCACGATGGCAGATCGGGAATTTCGGGGATAATTTTGGTGCATCCTTATTTCTGGGGGAAATCTCCGATCGACGAGCAAGAGACGAAGGACGAGACTGTGAGGTCACATGTCGCAGGGATTTGGACGGTGGCGAGCCCGAACAGCAAGGACGGAGCGGACGATCCGTGGATCAACGTGGTGGGGTCCGGGCGGGATCTGTCCCGGTTGGGAAGCGGTCGGGCTCTGGTGATGGTCGCCGGAAAAGACGCGTTGGTGCGGCAAGGATGGGCATACGCGGGGAAGCTGGAGAAGAGCGAGTTGCTTATCAATAGTACATAACGTTTCATTTTCCACACTTTGATATGAACCCTACTTGTGAGAATGCCAAGGGATTGATCAAGAAATTCGCAGAGTTCATCATCAAGGGGTGAAGAATTAATAATTAACGTAAAATAAGCTTCATGTTCGATGTATCTGTTATAAGACACGTGCGGATGTGAATTGCGGTCACTAATTTATCATGTTTCTGTGGTTTCCTTCGATAAATCAAAGAATTAGACATAAGTTTCTTCTTAAATTCTTTGTTAATTTTGTTTGTTATGCTTACTATTATAGCCATAGATTTCAGCTGTTAGAGGGATAAGTAAAAAAAAATATTATATCTAAAACATACAACGGGAGTTTTCAAAATAATATCAATATAAAAAAAAATAGACCACTTTTCTACATCAATAATAACGACGTTAAAATCCAACGTATTTTATTGGCAGAAATCCGAAATGGTACGCATTAAGATCAACGTATCACAGTGTAGCATATATATATATATACACACATTCGTACGACTTGTGTATTTGTATGTATATATATAGATATGTGCATATATATATATATATATATATATATATATATATATTTATAAGAAAGGCTCACACACCACAGTTCAAATAAGGAAAATATGCTACAACATATATATTTGGCTATTACACATTCGAGTATATGAGACGATGCCACGCATGCGATGATAGACACAATGTTGGACCATCATATAGCATCGGCCTTGAATTTAGGGTTTCATATCGGGAATTAAGAGTTTAAAATAGATTCATATATATATATAAAAAAAATGGCCGATCTCTCTCTCTCTCTACTCTCTAGCATAAGGGAATGCAGAGTTACTTCAACATGAGATATAGCATTGGAAACCTCTACATGAGGCGGAGGGTTTTAACGGAGTCCAAGTTTCAGTCGTAAGATTTAGTCATTTTGTGAGCATTCTCGATTATCAAATTGGATATAAAAATCTAATAATATGATTTTTTTAATTGAAAAACCGAATATAAAATAGCTGAAAGTTAAAATTTTTATTTAAAATGAATATTTTAATCATTATAAACTGACTGGACAATCTAACACATATACTGAATGAATATGATTATTTTAAAATGGAAAAAAAGTCGAATCCAAATATAACAGAACCAAAATATATTCAACTTAATTGGTTTTTAGAAAATTTAAATGTCTCGGGTATTTATTTTAGACTCTAACTTCATCATCTTAGAAAAATTATATCAATTCTATATTTATATAAATTTTGGTCGATTTGGAAACTGTATACATTCAATTTGTATTCGGGTTTGTTAAAAAATTTCTATTTTTTAAAAAGAAAATGTTTTTATCCGATTTTGTCATTTTTTTAAATTTATTTATATTCAATCCAAAATCACTTAATTTAGGTATTTAGAAAAAAATCAAATTGAATCAATTTTTAAATCATATTTGAATATATCTTGTTTTGTTTCGGTGAAAGTTGTTGTGCAAATAATTTAATGTGAACATAAATTGGAATGGAGAAAATAAATGCGTTGATACCATCGTGTGAACGAACATGGTTGCTGAAATCACATTCAAAACAAGCGTAACGCTGAGTCATTCGCCAGAGTTTTAGCCGTTTGGGACTCCATAAACTTTATAAGAGAAATTTCAACAACCAAAAAAATTCAAGTGAGGTTTTTTTATTTCCTTTTTAGAAAAAAGTGAGCGTAGAATCGAATTTGTTGGGAATTTCCATCTGTCTAAATCCTAAAAAAGGGCTTCTAACTTATTTAAATAAATACATATAATTGAATATAGCACTTTGCAAAGAATCTTATTGACAACCAAAACAAAGTTCAAGTGAAGTTTTCCTTCCTTTTATAAAAAAGTGAGTGTAGATTTTATTACTGTTAGAATTGAATTTGTTGGGAATTTCGAGTTGTCTGAACAGGGAAAGGGTTTCTAACTTATTAAATAAATACATAAAATCAATTATGACGTCGAGTTATAATTTTCATAGGTGGATGTCGACTTGTTCTTCTTCGAGGATTATTTATCACAGTTTTACTGAGATTAATCTTCACTACTAGTAAACTTTACTATTATTTTCATATGTTTTATTGTATTATCAATATTTTCATAATATTTTTTGGATCCGAATAGGAGTGACGTTTTTTTTTACAGATTCGCTTCATTTATATTTGGATTCATTTATTTCAACTTTAGAAAAATTTTAACAATTCAATTTTTATATTGAATTTGATTTTTGTTGATAAAAATATTCATTTAAAATTTTGATTTTTTTTCATTTTTTATTTGATTTGATTTTCGATTAGATTTTTTTTCTATAGAAATCATAATCATTCAATTTTTTATATTCAATTCGATTTGGTTATATTTATATATTATTCGTGGTTCACTTGTTCGATTATTAATCAAATTGGTTACCCCATTATGTGTGGTTTATGTGTTTTCTTAGAATTATATAGTCTCCATAGGTGAAAAATTAATTAATTTGGGTTAAAAAAAATTAGGCGAAAGATGAAAATGTATTTGTCCTAGATAAAATTAGTAATGCCAGTGCCAGTCATGTCGTCAACCCATTTGTTGGTCTCACTAAGCTCTATAACTAATTGTATATTTAAATTTATTTGCTTATCAATAGTACATAACGTTTCATTTTCCACACTTTGATATCATCAGAGTCTGATTATATTTTTTGAATTTAAAATTTTATTAACCTTTACAAAAGATGATGGTTGAAGACGAGACGACGGACGATATATCGTATTCAAGGACAATATCATTTTGAAAAATAACAAAGTTAGTAATATGGTTCTCTTGATTTTTTTTTTCTTTTTTTTTTTATATATATTTTTAGGTCTCTACAGTATGAAAAAGTTCTAGTGATAAAAAAATATTTATTACATAAACATTTGAATTAAAATTTAAAGATCGTCTAATTTTATACATGTTAGCATGTATAAACTAGAGGTGGACATTTAAACCTGTTACTTACGGGTTTACGGGTACCCGGTCTCGCGGATATCCAAAAAATGGATACTCGATTTTGAATGAAGACGAAGATGGATATAATAAGATAAAAGCGATGGGTTTGGATTTCTAAATATATAATAAAGATTAAAATATCCTAAATTTTCTTAAGTTATTTATCAAAATATTAGATTTTAACTTTAAAAATCAAAACATATCTTAAAATAAATTCTATGATGTATATTCTAAAAAACAGTTAAATATTTAGATTTTAACCCTATTTTTGAATTAAATAGTATTTTACTAAATATTTTGTTTATATTTATGTTTAAAATTTTATTTTATATACACGGATATTCGCAAATATCTATCTTTTAGTCGTGGATACCCGATCGGTGGATACCCGTTTTCATGAGATAGAGAATAAGACATTTTTTATGCAACCCTCAAAGACAAAAATGAGATCGGGTATCTCCAAAGTCGCGAATACCCGACCCATACTCACCCCTAATATAAATTTATAAATTTTCATAAGAGTATTAAGAATTTTGAAGGATGAAGAGTATTAAAAATTTTGAAAAAATTCAATAGGTATAGAGTTAAAATATTACTGTAATGATTATTTTAAATTGAATTTATATAGAATTATCATTTTATGATAGAATTTTAAACTCATTTCCTTATCAATAATACATAAAACTTTTTGTTAGGCGAACTTTGACAATCGTCCGAATTGTTTCTTAATATAAATAGATGTCCATCTTCATCTGTACAAAAACTCTCCAAATCCTTTGCAAATTTTTCATGGCTAATAGAAGTTTTCTTGTCCCTTCATCCACTCGTCTTTGTTGAATGTGCACAAAACGGATGGAACTGAACTGAAGAACCACCACTATCGGCCATAAATGCAACCCTCCACTTCCTCCTATGTCCTAACCCCTCTCTTAGTGGTCTGTCACCGACCCTCTTGAATGAATGGAATTTACAGAACCATTCATCTCACTTAGTAATAATACACACGCTCGCTCACATATCCTCCTAGAATGCAGCTTCTTGGGACAAGATGAAGATCAGCAACTAATACCCCATCAAGATAAGGCTACATGCGTGAGATTTCATAAGACAGATGCATATGCTACGCTCAGAGCTTCTGGCTAGAAGATTTTGAAAAAAGAGAACAGGATTCAGGGTTTCCTCGGATATGTATTACTATTAGATAGACAAGGAGAAAATATTGTCTTTGTTCAGCTCTTATAACTCTGTAACATCCACAGTTGAGGCAGCTCCAGCTCCGACTCTGTCACGGGGGATGAGGCGGAGTTCGGACCCGTGCTTGAGAAAGACATTGCCTGAGATCACACCGAATAATATGAGAAACAAAATGTCAAAGACCCATCCTTTCAAGAATTTAAATACTCAGTGACCGGAGACATGGCAGAATGGCATGTTCTGTACATATCAGGAGGCGAATCAAGGTTTGAACATAAGTAAATTTAAGTCTCTTGATTAAGGCATAGAAGTGGGAGAAATATCCTTGCCCTCAAATTTATCATCTCACATAAAAAAAATTTGACAGATCCGTAATGGAATTCCATTTTCCCGCATAATAATTTCAAGCCCATGTTCAAGAACATTCATTTGACGACCGTCCCTCACATGAAACCGGTTTACAGGCTACAGCATATCTTCACCCAAGACACAAAACATGAAACATGGAACCTAATTCATGAGATTCAGTCAGATCAATGTACAGTTCCATAACCTATGCTCTATGGACATACAATACAACGTACCTGCACTTTGCTGAGGGTTGATTCCTACACCATCTGCACGAGTAGCATACACAACAAAAAATTCAGTCACCCTCAAGAGGATGATGTCCATAACTCAGTAGCACGCCCTACGTAACCAGAAAAATTTTAAGCCATCGAAAAGCAGATGATGTAGAGAGAATCCTGAAGCAGAATCCCAAAAACACAACCAATTCAAACCAAACTATGGAGAACTACAGAAATTTTCACGTAAGAGTTCAATCCGAAAGCAACACCCCACAATTTCACACTCTGGGAAAAAACCCATCAAATTGGAAAATGGAAATTGAGTTTATATGTACCATTGGTGATTATGGCGCTGGTCTGGGGAGGGACCTTGAATTCCTCTGCTGCGAATTTCAGAACCGCCGTGAATGGCGCCGCCTCCGGCACACTAAACCTGCGATCGCCAAAAAAAAAATCAAAATCGATGAGGAAAGAGAATTGAAACCTCAAAGATCCAATCGAAAGGACATCAAATCAACGAAAAAACAGTAACCGAAGAATCGAACAAGGGTTTGCGAATTCTGGAACATACACTTTGAAAGGGAGCTTGGGATCTGAAGTGAGTGTGACTTTGAAGGATACTTTACCACCGGTTGCCATGGTTTTCTTCCTCTTCCCGTCTCGGCGATGGAAGATCGACGGCTCACTCCTGTTTTTCGCGATCTTCTGATTCTCTTTTCTTTTTCCTACTACGTATTTTATATATGTGCCATTTGGGCCTGAAGGAAGCCCATGACCAAGCGCTCGCGATCTTAAAATTGGACTGATCAGGCCCAATGGGCCTAATCATTGGATGGTAATCGAATTATTCTAGCGTTAGCTCCCGGCTAAAGACTTGTTCGGTCTAATGCTTTGCCCTTTGGAGACGATGACGACCCGATATGAACAGAATCTGTTCATTCAATTGCTTCATGCAAACCCAACAATCCCTTAGTTGGGGTATTCCTTACCTTAAAGCTCAAATGTGTATATGTATATATGTATGTATGTATAAATAATCATCATCTTGATTCTTTCACAGGAGAAACATAAGAAAAACGTCTTGATCTTCCAAAACCCGAAACAACAAGACTTGCAGAACTTACGATGTCGTTGAGCCCTCCGAGAGAACGGACCGACGGTGCAGCGAATGGTGCGTTGAGGGCTTTCGGGCTCTACTGGTGTTACCAATGTAACCGTATGGTAAGGATTGCGTCTTCAAACTCCTCGGAGATTGTCTGCCCTCGATGCTTCGGACAATTTGTCGTCGAGATAGAGACGAGGCGGCCTCGGAGAGCATTCAGTTATGCCCCGCCTTTCGATGCTTCTCCCGAGGCTCGCCTTCTCGAAGCTCGTTCCCTAATGTTTGATCCACCCGTCAGAGGATTTGGTGAGGATCCGTTCCTCAGAGCGAGAGCAAGAAACAGGATCGGCATGGAACCCGAAACAGCACATCAACCACATCATCGACGGCGACACAGCCTCGATAGTGGTAATAGTAACGGTAACAGGAGAAATTACGGCAGTAATACCTGGGACAGGGAAACCGAGGGTTTGCCTCCACCAAGAAGAATGTTTGTCATTCTCCGACCGCTTGGTCCTGTCAGGACCGGTGGAAACACGATGGAGCCACCACCAAATCCAGTACCACATGGCGTGAACCCTCGGGACTTCTTTCTAGGGCCGGGCTTAGAAGAGATGATCGAGCAGCTGACGCAGAATGACAGGCCTGGACCGCCGCCAGTACCAGAATCCGCTATTGACACGATACCAACTGTGAAAATCACATCCGAGCACCTAAAAAATGACGGGACACAATGCACGGTGTGCATGGAGGAATTTCAGGTTGGCGGGGAAGCAAAAGAACTGCCTTGTAAACATATATACCATAATGATTGTATAGTCCCATGGCTGAGGCTTCACAACTCTTGCCCGATCTGCCGCCATGAGTTGCCAGTCGATTCCGGGGGAGATTCTCGGGAAAGGACTGGTCCTATCGGAGAAGAAGGGCCTGACAGAAGGCGCATGAGGTGGAGGCAGCTGGGAAGTATGTGGCCTTTCCGAGCAAGGTACCAGAGGGTTAGTCCAGAAGAATCAGCACACCGCAATTCTCGAGGTAACAGGAGCTTCTTCTGATGATTTCAGGTGCATCCCTCTCTCCATCTGAAGCCTTATATGATCCAGCAAACGTATGCATATTATGTGAAACGACGTCACGGAGATAAAAATCCAATTTGTTATTGCTCTGAAAATGATGTATGACTAAAACTGGAAATTTCTGGAAAGGTTGTGTAATGTTACAAAAAGGCCTAACGTTCCAGTAAAAATCAAACCACAAATGCACGATCTGCATGCAGTGACTGCAAGAACTCTAGAGAAACCTCAGTTAATCTTACCTGAAACCTTGAACTGAAATCATCGCAATTCTTTACGCAGTCGAACAGCGGAGCCCTTTCTGTACCATCCTTTAGCTTCACAAAAGCAACCATTTGAAGGAGAAGCATAAGCAGCATATTGAAGATTTGCAGATAAATAAAAAAGCGCATGGCAAACGTACAATGAGCCGCCAAGCTGTAACCAATGGATTCTAATTCAACCACAACCAATGATTTGAAAAGACAGTGTAACAACTAACAAGCTAAGGCCATGATAAGGATAATATGAATCATGGGAGCATGTAATAATACTTAGCAGTTCATATGTCTCTTCGTGGGTTTTTTCCATAATCCTTGATAGTAAGCACGAGAAAATGGAAGCCGAGAAATGCAATGTGAAATTGTTCCTAACTCGATTAACGCAAAGGAAATCAGATCATCACATCCTACAAGGATGGAATTTTACCTCCAAATTTCATGATGGAACCAGCAGCAACGGAAACACAAATGTTCTGTTTACAGTTGCGGTCGGCATTCTTCTTGACGCAGTCGACGAGTGCCTCATCAACGGATTTGGAGCTCATTTTAGGAGTGTAACCGAACTTTTTAGCCTTCACCGGAAAAAGCTCCTCGTACTTTTGCTTCTTCGTCGCATTGATGGCGTAGATGTCATCACCACCGGCGGCGAAAGTGACTAAAACCTCTGTCGGCGTCTCCGCAGCCGCAACTTCTACGGCGGAGGATAAAGGTCTAGATCCGCCCTCAGAGCCATCTAGGTTGTCCTTGTTCTTCGTGTGCTTCATGCCGATCGATTTCCGTGCAGCCAAATCATCTCCTTTGAACATCAGCCTCTCCCTCGTAAGGACCCGACACAGCTTAGCATCTCGTTCTTCCCTCTAATCGATTAGGGTTTTGCACACTTCCGACATCCATCAGCTTCGGTCAGTCGGGAACTTTTCGCATTCGACTACTGTCTCCATAAATATAAAAAAAATACTTTCATCCGTTAAAATTTAAACACACAAATTAAAAAAATTAATGATTTATCTAAAATACCTTTATTTTTTTATATATAAAATTGTTATTTCTAAATATATAAAACATTTAAATATTATTAATTAGAGATAAATTTTTTAAAAAAATATTAAAAATTACATAGAAAATCAATTATTTTAAAACAAAAATATTATTTTAAAACGTTATTTAATTTGAAACGGAGAAGTATATATTTATCTATAGTTGGTTTTTTATAGTTATCTATAAAAAAATAGTATACATTCTACTAGAAAAACAAAATAAAAGAAGTAATTAAATCGGAGATCTTTACCAAAAAAAAAAAAATTAAATCGGAGATATTGCCCATATTTAGAAGCTTGTGGGCTTAATAGACTGTGGTTAAGAAGATAGGGCCTATTCTGATATTAATGGGTCCAATTGATAGTGTGATAAATTGTGGGTCTATTGTGTAATTATTGTTGCCATTTATACTATAGTGATGTCGACAGTAATTTGTTAGAAGATATCGTGGGCTTTATGGGCTATATTGGTAATTTATGGGGCTATTGTAATATTACGAACATGTTTGAGTTTATGGATCTTAATGGGCCTTAATTGGGTTTTCTGTCTCCGGCAACAAATGGCGGCGGCTATATCGGCTGCGACGGTGGCGAGGCCATCGTCTCTGGCATTGCTCGCCAGACGGAGATCAAAATGGGCTTTCTCTGTTTTCGCGAATTGTTCGTCTTCTTCTTTGTCTTCCACACCGAAGACGAGTAAAAGCTTGTTCTGTACTCGAAACCAGGTTGTTGTCTCTGCGACGGTCTGAAGGAGAAGCTTCAGGCTGCGTTCTCAATCTCCGCTCCTGATTCTCTCCACGACGTCGTTCTTCAGGTCGGACATCCTACGGCCTCGTGTTGCGTATATGTCGAGTTCCCTTCTCTGAAATCTCATTAGGGCACAATTCTGGAGCTTGTTTTGATTAATTTATGTTCTTGTTTTGTTTCTACTCTGAGATGAGGTAAATCACCATTTTCCAGTGTTTTGATTTCGTAGTTTATCGGATTGTAATGCTTATGATGAAACAGAGGACTTCAACAAGGCTAGTTCCAGATTCATGGCAGTATATTAGAGTGACAAACATGCTTATATGACCGCCACAAGATAAATCAAGGAACAGGGAAATTTCCTTTTTGGATTCGGTCAATGTGGATTTACTTTGTAGAAGTTTATGGTGTGATGCTGTTTTCTTAAGTTTTGTCAGGTGAGAGATGCCACGACCAATCCCGGGTGGGAGAAGGCTTTTCAGTATGAGATACCGGTTCTGGCGAAAGAGAACTCCGATGGCACCGAGGTTTGTGGTCTAGATTTGGGTTTTTTCCTTTAATTCTTGATTTTAGCTCCATAGTCTTTAAGCTTTTGGTTACATTTGTGGATAAGTGTTGCACAGCATTTTCGAATCCAACGTGCCAAAATGTGGCCAATATGAGTGTATTTGGATAGACCTGTAGCATCGATGTCGTCGTTATTGGTTATCACATTCCATATCAACACACATGAGGTGATGAACCTTCTGGTTTTAGTGAGACCCTTTACGTGTTTTTGAGGGAAGAAAGGGACCACTTGGAAACTGCCTATTATGGAATTTGCTTGAATGTTGTAAAATGGGGCATGCATTCTTATCCATTACTTAGAAGGAGACTCTATGCAACTTTCCATCTTTATTTCAGGAAACTTTGCCGAGATTGTCACCCCTTCTCGGAGTGGAGCTCATACAGAAGAAGATAGCTTCTGCTTTGAGTTGATCAATTCCGTGTATGATTAGAAAAAGAAAAAGGAACAAAGAATTCGACATTGTGGTCCTTTACGGTGGAAAAAGGTTTGGTACTCGACGCCTTAACGAGAAATCCGTGTTTTCTTTTTTTATCATTCTGATTTTTGGACAATAATAATGTCAGTTTGTTTTCTATTGCTGCATGATTTGTTGTGATAAGAATCATTGTCATTGGAAATAGTTTTGCTTTTATCATTCCCAGAGTTGATTTGCATCCTACCTTCCTTTATCAATTTCTTTTGCCATCTGCCTTTCTCTTTGGCGGTGCATTGATATTGCTTTAGCTTTCTTTTGACTGATCCATTAACTCGTGTGGCTGCAAGAGGTACGTAAGCTTTGATTGCTAGAATTGTCTTCATCCATTTCTTTTTTCCTCTGCTCTGTTTTTATGCATTGGACGCCTTTATCTTACTCGTCCTTATTGCTTCTTTTGTGATTTTGATACATTATCTGCTTTTGGTTTGGTTGATGCCTTAACTACTACGGCGGTTAGGCATGTAAGTTGTCTCTTCCGCTAATTGATTATACCTAAAAGGAAAGAAAGGTTGATAGGCTTTCTTTAGATTAGCAGTCCATTGTTCTTGCAGATGCTTTTTCTCCAGAAGAAAAGACTGTATCTGGATGATCATGGGGACCATCGGGCATCTCTCCATGCAGCATTTGGCGATACAGTTCTCTGTCCCGGTTGCTTTTACGGAACTACATCTTCTTGAACGATCAAAACAACTATTACTTGGATTGTATTTCTTTCCGTGTTTCTACTTTTGGTATGGAATGGATTACAACAGCCAATTGAGAACTATTTCAATTCGCCACGTTTTTTCTTTCTTTCTCCATAACTGTCGTGACTGACCATGATGTATGTTGTTTTTGTGATTCGCCACAGGTGTTCCGACGTGACGTGTAGGTAACGTCTTGAACCGAGAGGCACATTCTCACCATTGCGAAATGAAAGCGGCTCGTTTGTGTAAGCATCCCTTTGTTCTGACCAAAAATTTGTTCAGCTTCGCAATTCCGTAGGGCCTATTTGTTTCATTTGATTGCACGGACCGCACCTATGATGAAACCATATATTGTTGTCTTCAACATAACACAATGAATATAAATTATGATCAGAAACTATAAGGATTTTCGGTTCTTTAACTCATTGGTAACTTTTATATATTAGCATGGTCCTCATCTTCAAGATCTCTGCATCTAGTGGCAATGCACCCACATACTCTGGTTATGATAAACATATAGAAAAGTTAAATCTTGATGAAACCCTCTCCCTACCTAAAACGGTCCCATGCTTTGGATTAGGAGGGCATGTTTTCTTCGTTATCGCACTTCTTTTTACTTGCTTTATACGATAGAAACGTTTTGCAATCGTTGTTCATATCAACCAGACGGGTCTTTACATATTTAGTATTCGTTTTATTCGCGAGTAGTTGCATCTTTTGTGTATTGAGTGGAACATTTCAGTCTTGATCGTAACGGCAGGTCTTTAGCACAAAAGATGGTGAAATATAATAAGACTCGCATGAAAGAAACCATCTTTTTTCTTTCTTTCTTTTTGGTTGAACCAAAAGCTTCTGCAATAATGCAGTCTCCTGAATTATTCAAGAGGCTTTTTGGTAATCTTTCTTTCGTTAAAGTAAGGTTTTTACAATCTTTAGAAAAGCTTGTTTAGGCAGCTTTATGCATAAACCCTCGTGTGCTTAGTAGGTGGAATGGAATTGATCTTTGCATTTTCCAATGACTTGCTCGCTTGCGTCTGCGTTTGCGTTTGCCTCTCATTGCTAGATTTTGCCGTGGAAAAAGATAGTGCGAAAAATCATCTCCTTAGGGTGTCAAATGGATCTGGCTGCCCATATTTTAACGAGCTGGGTTCAGTAAATTCGAACCCAAAGAAAAAACGGGTCGAACAAGTCGAGCTTTTCACGAGCCAGCTCGTCGGGACCGATGCCACAGAGACTGTACCGAAACATATTCTAGGCTCTATAGGGAAATAATATCAGTGCATAGTCTTGCCATGTTGCAAATGAAGTACCAATTGCATATGATCATCATATTGGGAAAGAACATCCTTTTTTTTTTTTTACACCTTTGACCAAATGAATTTTATCGTATCCTCTCCTATTGATGAGGAGAAAGTTTCCATCTCCATTTGCTACTCATCTTGTCAGTATCTTTTTCATGTGTTCTTGTTTCCTTATGCTTCCCCCACCAATTAGTTCCATCAATTATATGGGATTCCATTAAAATATGTTCTTTTGTTTTCTCATTTTCCTTACAATTTGTGGTTGTATCACGTCCTATTACAATGGGACCTTATCAATTCTATGTTTGGATTCGATTGTTTGTGGATTACATTTTTCTGATTTTGTAAATAATATCATATTCGGTTTTTATATCAATTTTCGGTTCAAGTTTGGTTTTTTATTAAAAAATAAAAAAAAAATATCTAAAAAATTCTAAACTTATAGTTTGATGTAATATTAATTTCTAAACTTATAGATGCATCTATTTATTTTCGAAGTTGCATTTTTTAACATAATAATTTGTGAACTTGCATTTCTTAACACAGTCATTTCTAATCTTATATTTTTTACCACAATAATTTCTAAATTTTATTTTGGTCAATTAGTGGTATAGACGATTATGGAACTACTAAGCAAGTTTAGGAATTATTGTGTTAAAAAATATAAATTCGAAAATAAATATGTACACCTACAAGTTATTGAATTAATATTACACTAAATTACAAATTTATGAATTTTCAGATATTTTTCTTTTAAAAAATTAGTTATTTTCTTAAAAAAACCTTTTTCTGTTATCTACACATTCAATGATTTGGTTTTTAAAAAAAGGCCATATCTAAATGTTTTTACGATGATCATGTTTAATATTGTTTAGTTCGGTTTGATTTTGTATATTCGAACCTAAATTGTCACCACTGCCTGGCGTATGATTTCAGATATTTAATGGTAGATTTTGTCTCATGTTGTGTTCGACCTGTTTATAGTTTTTTTCTAAAGAATACTCGCGGGTGTATCAAAATTTCATGTCAATATCTAAGAATGTAATATATATGTGTGAATGCCATTTCAAAATTCTATTTTTACATTCTATTCGATCTTTTTTTTGTCGTTCGG